TTAAGGTGTCCCAAGATGGAAGCAATGTCTTACAGAGATAGGGCTGAAAGCCTGGGCCTCACACTCTCTTTTGGATGCCTACTCTGAGAAGCAGCTGCTTCTAGGCCCTTTCTGCTGTCAAAGTTAGGATTTACTGTGTGGGGAAGTTAATGGCGATTAATGCAGTGTCTCAGATGGAAGTKWGTTAGGCTTAGGCTCCCAGGGGAGGAACTCAGACCTACTCTGGACTTGGGTCCTACACAAGTCGGTGGAGGTGGATGTGGGCCGGGTCTGGCCTCCCGCAGTAGTCTACTGGTTGGAAGAGGTGGTCCTGTGCTGGAGTCTGGGCTCACGTGGGTGTCTGCCTCCAGCGGAGGGGATGGACCCAATTGTACTGTGAGCCTGGGACCCACAAGGGTGGTGTGGGCAGATCTGGGCTGGATCTGGGCTCCTGGGGTAGTCTGCTGGTCAGAAGGGGCTGTCCTGTGCCGGAAACTGGGCTCCTGTGGGTCAATATCCTTCTCTTCACACTGAAAAATTTTCAGAGAATTGAAGAAATATTTTTAACTAAAAATAATTTTCTAAAATAGCCTTGCAATTAACTTATGGGAATATTTATGGGGAAAAGATATACTTAGACTATTGGACTCATTAAAACTAATATGACTTGTGATTTTAATCAAGGTCTCAGTTACACAGTATTTTCTAAGGAATTTTTACACATASATTCTGATCTCTTAGACATATTTTTACTGGGGAATTTTTTATGACTGTATTGATTGCTATCATATCTTTCATTATATTTTTGAATTATTTAGTATTAAAGTAAAGAAAAGCATGAATAAGCAAAACATCTGATTTTGAGTTTGTGATTTAAAAGGCATTTGCCATATCAAGAAATAGATGGGTCAACAAGAAATATTAAAGAGTTTCTGCTTTGGCAGCATATATACTAAAATTGGAATGATACAGAGAATGTTGTCATGATCCATGTGCAATGATGACAGGCAAATTTGTGAAACATTCAATTAAAAAATATTTCAAAAATTCAGGGAGAATAATGGGCTTTTAAATTATATTCAAAAGTAGTTTGCCACAAAATTTAAATAATTTTTAAATAATACAAACTCTTTAAACTATTTCTCTTAGTTTATCAAATATTTGCTGTGAAAATAACCAGAAAGATTTTCTGTTCAATAAAGTCCAGAGAGAATTCTCAAAGGATACATGCAACCAGACATGAAAAAAAAAACTTTGTACTTTAATTATTATTAGGCTATTTTGTTTATATCTTAGACTCTTTGTTTATATCTGAGGCTTCTGAAGTCCTCATGGACAATAGCCCAAGAGCCTGCATGTAAGTGACTCTATGATTATTCCTCTCTCAGTGGACTCCATCAGAGATGAGCAAAACTTTTATGATGAAATACTTTGTAAAAAAGTTTTATAGAATAAAAATAACTAAAGCCTTCAAAGACAACCTCTATTCTGGCAGATAATCATGGAACTTGGATAACACAAGACTGGAAAGGTCCTTAAATATCCATGGTTATTCCATTTTTTCTCATTTTAAGATGCATAAATATACCAGAATTCAAAAAAAATTGTTTTTTTTAGATTTTTGACTTTGCCTGCCTTGAATACAGAGTGAAATCCCTTTAACTTAATAGACTCAGCCTTGTTAGAAATACATCTCTTGCAGTGGAAGAACTGAATTGTTTTCCAGTTTATTGACCCACTTTAAAAAGAGAGCCAAGAGATTATGAAATTTTTAAATTAGTCAAATACTAATGAAACTGAATACTTCTTTTTTTTTTTAAAGAGAGAGTGAGAGAGGAGAGAGAGAGAGAGAGAGAGAGAATTTTTTAATATTTATTTTTTAGTTCTTGGCAGATACAACATCTTTGTTGGTATGTGGTGCTGAGGATCGAACCCGGGTCGCACGCATGCCAGGTGAGCGTGCTACCGCTTGAGCCACATCCCCAGCCCCGAAAATGAATACTTCTTAAGAAAATAAAATGTATTTATTTAGGAAATTCATTCATTTATTTTTAAAATATCTCTACATTATTTAGCTTTATTAGCTTTAAATTTTGTTTGATGCAACAAAATTGAATATGTTAATAAATCATTTTTTTATACTTCTAAAGATTGCTGCATGAACAAGGAAACTAAATGGATCAAAGCAAAACAAGGTAAAAATATTTTTTAAATTGTTTGTTACTGTAATGTGATGATTCAAACACTGACATTGTTATAAAATAGTAGCCAAAGACAACATGATATGATTATATATAATATTCCTAATTTAGAATATATATAATACTGCTATGTTAGATAGAGATAATTCTTTAGCTGTAAATTATGACAAAATTAAGGAAGTGCAAAAATGCAATGATTAAAATCTGCTTCTTCCTAAAATGCCTTATATATTTTGATTTAAATACAAAGA